TGTTAGAAGTAGAAGACATAAAAATTTGATCCAACACTCTCTTCATATAAGAACATTTATTGTAATAATGGCCTAAACTTCTTATCTCGCACATCAAATATATCCTTAAGTGACTATGAATGATTTTGCAATAAAATACAACTTTGGAACCCTTTTTTCTCTTGAAGTTATTTAAGTTGGCTTATTGGACAACCAGCTTATAATCCATAGTTGGTTAATAAAAACCTTCATCACATCAAACATGTAAGGATTATGATGAGTGCTAAATATCAATCCTAAGAAAAAGTTTTGCAAGAAAAAACATTAGAACTTTATAGAACATACAATATAAAATGATAAATAAAACTTGCTAAACATTGCAAATAAAATGTAGTTAGGTCGAAGGGCAACAAATTTGGTTCACCCGTATCTTTATTTGGTAATTGTTGATTGAGTTTTGCAATAGGATGCCTTCAAAAGAGCGAAGGAGGAAGATTGGGTGATTTCCTCCGTCCCTTATGAGGCTGAGCGAAAGTCTGTGGTTGCCTACTATGTAGTGAAAAAAAGGCCCACACGACTGCTCACGCTGAAACCTCAGTGCCCGAGGGTGCCAAAGTGGTGGGCTGGATGAAAGTTCTGGTGGTTCATGATGGAGAGAATCTAGAAGGTATCGATATGGTTTACAATATACTTGATTATTATGTTCTTTTTAAAAGGATCACTACTGGTGAGCTAATCCTTATTGAAAGGAAAATTTCTACGATGCCTGCTAAAAGCTCTCCATTGATTGCAGGTCCCTTTGATGTGCAATACCAAGAGGCTGAAAGTTCAGTGAGCCAATACAGTTGAGAGGGCCCTAGGGGAAGGCTTCAATAGAATGACAGTAAGTGGGATTTGTCATCACTTGGTCAACCACTCTGATATTCATCGAGCTTCCTGTGAGGGATGAAGACAAACACTATTCTTTAGTTGGCCCAAGCGAACCTGAGTCAGAGCTCGAGTCTCCCAGCTAAGAGGAGATGCGCTATAAGGGGAAGATACTTGCAATCGATTTGAGTGACGTGCCTCCTCCCCCACCTTGAAAGAAATGAAAAGGATCCATGCTTAGTTGGGTTCCAATGCAAGACTACAAGGTGAAGGTGAGTACTAGCTCAGATGGTCATTTTGACTTGATCAACCTTAGAAGAGATTGATACTTTGACTCTCCTACTACGACTGAGATCCCTTTGACAAATATCAAAGTCATATGCTCCCACACCTATGAGAATGTCCTTAGGGCATTCAACCTCTCAGATTTGTACGAAATGACCGATCAATATTAATCAATGTTGTGGGAGGCCTCTGACTTCTAATCAGTGGCTCTTCAATGAGAACACAAAAAACAACAGGATGCTGAGGAAAAGCGGGATGTGATCAAGGAGAGGACAGAAGCCACAGAGGAGCAGCAAAGGCAGCTAAAGCCGAAGTACTCAAGAGATCAGAGTTACTTTCAATTGCTCAGAGAGAGAACCCAACCTTGAAGGAGAAGATGACGAAAAAGAAAACATTAGGCGAGTCATTTGCTAAGCTCTCCTCCCGATCGCGTCAGGCAAAACTTCTTGTTGCGAAGCTCAGAAAAGGAGTGGCCTTCGACATCTGTCGAATGGTGAAGGTGAAGTTGGTATGGTGGGAAGAGAAAATAGTGATGATGATGGAGGGTTGTCAAACATATAACTCGCTTTTAGTTTCACCCATAACTTAGAAAAACAATTTTTTTTTAATTGTGAACAGTTGTAAAGAAAGAATAAGAAATTCTTTGTAAATTTTCAATCATGAAATAAAGTTAAGCTTTCGGTCGATTTTTAATCTTCATTTTTTTTAACTTTACCTTTATCATATATTTTATTTTTCTTGTAATAAATGTTTAGCATTGTTAACTGATAGATCGACCTTTTTAAGAATGTCTTTGGTCAATTTTGTTGATTTATCACTCGACTTGGTTGCTCTGTTAGGTCGTTGCCTTGAATTGACCACACCTTACATTAGGCATATTAAGTAGATATCGTCACAGTCTTCAAGGAAATAGCCTTCGAGAATTGTTGTTGGGGTTATTAGTACGCTACCCACCGTGACATTGTATCTAACGAGTAAAAAATTGATGTCATAAATTGACCTGCTTTGAGTTAGGAAACATAAGTTTTTATATGCATGAGCGTCGTATATCAGATCTTGTGCAATTTACTTATCAAACATTGAGCATCATTGTCAATTCTTTTAGATAATTTTTACCAATCAAACGTTGTCCATCATTGTCTATTACTTTCGATAATTTTCACCAAACGAATGTTATCTGTCATTGACAATTATTTACCGATAAAAAAATTATTTGTTGAAATCGACTTTGGAAAAATTTATCGATCGAATGTAGGCATCATTATCAATTTTGGCGTTCAGGTGGAATCAATGTTGATAGGTGGGCTCGAGTTTTCGGAGTGCCGATCAGATTTTGACGATCCATTGCATGAACTTCCCATATTTTTTTAGTGTCGACAAGATTTTGACGATCCATTGCATGAACTTCCCAAGTTCCACGAGTCTTGTCCAGATCTGTGATTATGCACACAATTAAAAAAGTTTTACTTAACTATTTATGAACTTGACAATAAAATAGAACAGTTGGAACGATAACACATACTCATAAGGATGGGGGCATATCAGGATATCGTGCTTGAGTCCCTTAGTGACGCACTCTATCAGTTGCTCGATTATTCAAGTGTCCATGCGAGTCTTCAAGGCGATCTTGAGTTGAGCTTGAGTTGAGTGGTAAAGATTGTGCCTTGGCTCCTGCCTTTCTGAACAAACAGTTGTCTTGGGTGGATGGTAGTTGGCTTGATCTCCTTTGAATAATGCAGAGAGGAGTTGTGTTCTTTTGCGAATATGTGAATGTTGGCTAGTTCCAATAGCTTGACAAGCGTCTTTAGTTGTATTATCAGAGGGTCATTTCTTCATCCCTTGAGCTAGGGAGGCATGAGCTACTGTGAGCTTTAAGTCCTGCATTTCTAACATCTCCTTTTGGAAGTGTATGATAAAAGAGTGGAGAATTTCACTTTGTCCGGATCATATTATTAAGTGGGCCTACAAATTTTTTAAGGATTTTGAGCACTAGAGAACTACACCACAAACATTCACTTGAACTCAACAAACAATGAGATCACTCCCGATGGTAATGCATTTAACCACCAAATACCTCAGCATGGTAAAGTAGCGACTGTATTATAGAGCATTGATGATCCTCAAAAGTCACACAATCACCTCAGATAAGATGATATGATCAGTTGGATTGGTCTTGCTCTTGTTAGACTCCAATGCAAAGAGATTGAACCTCTGGGGGCTTAGTCTCATAGATTTGTTGAGAGAACGCATTCTCAGGCTGTTAGGGCGCGTCGGTATGCTCGAACAGATATCAGTTGATCGGTGTCAACCCAACGATGTCAAAGTATTTGGAGTCTCCTTCTCTTTTCATGACCTGGTGGACTTTTTGGTCATTGAGCATCGACCCTTTCTCTCCGAAGTACTGCTCTCTTCCTTGAGCTAGAATGCCTTGGATGACATCCAACATTTGATAATTCAACTCCCGAATTTGTTGCTTCACAAACTTGTAGATGCACCCCCTGTTGATGGTTCCTTTGTTATGAGTTTCTTCCATGGGCCACTCCTTTTCTTGTCCATGGCATGATCCACACTCACTGTAACTTTTAGGATGTTGAATTATGACTTCTTCGTGAATCATAACCCAAAAAATATAGTGTAAGCCCTGATCTCTGGTGAAGGGCTCTTGTCGGTAGAGCGATGTTATATCGAGCTGAGGGTGAATCATCATAATTCAATAGGTAAATCACTGACTATAAGACGCTTTTTTTACTGTATTTTAATTCTTGATCCTTGATGAAGAACCTCAGAGGCTTCTATGGGATGCTTGGTGATATTGTGGAACTGAATCTTGCAATGTTAATTCTTGATCCTTGATGTGGGCTACTATATTGGATCGACATTCTTTCAGTGTTTGGCTCAAATGCCTATATATTTCGTTTTCAAGCCATTAATTCCATCAATCATTCTCTAATGAACATCTAGAGCAACTTTCTTTTGATATAAGCTAAAAGCCTAAGAAGTCCAATGAATTTCTCTCTAAGTTTTGCTTGAGCTCAAGAAGAGATGGACATGCCAAGATCAAGCTTATTATTTGAATTTCACTAGAGCTCAAGCAAGACTTTGAGCAGAGTTTTTAATTGAAAAGCTGAGATTGAGTTTGTTATGATTTGAGCTAAACTTGACTCATTTACACACATATTAATGCCCATATTTTGATTTGACATCTATAAACATAACAATATAACTTAAGTGAGCAAAACAATTTAAAATGTTTTTCAATCCATGTAAAAATAAGCTTAAACCATTATCAAGTCACAATATATTAAAATCATAATCAAATTATATTCAAATCATAATCGAACCAACTTAGAGTTATCTTAAATTATGATTGAATCATTTTGATCATCATTGAAGTAATCTTTAATTTATGATTGGGCCTTTGTTTGTAATAATTACATCAGTCAATTTACACAGTTTTTATAACTAAGGTCTGTTAGCTTCCATTGGAATGAAAGAGTAGATGACTATGAGCTGTATAACCAAGGATTTGATTCTCTGGATCCAATGAGTAAGGTGTCATGGAGGTTCCACTCGATTCTGTAAAGTCTTTATCAGCAATTGGGCATCAGATTCAATCTGGATATAGTGTCAATTCCCCAACAATGTGATCGTAAGAGCCCAAAATACTGCAATTGCTTCAACTTCAATAACATCCTTGGCCAAAAATGGGGACTGGAAATGGAGTAAGCATAAATAAATTAATATATAATATAAATATATATTTGTGGGAGTTTCACGGCCCGTTGGTATAAAATATATATATATATATATATATATATAATTTTATTGGTTTATCAAAAAAATTAAAATTCATTAACGGGAAACTATTAAAGCGAAACTAAACGACGGAAAGGGAAGAGGGAGAGGCGGGCCCAAGCAGGATTACTGCAAGACGCAGAACCGGACCTTCTGATTCCCTGCGCTCGCCTGGCAATCGCTCTCGTTCCTCGGTAAAGACAACACACCCCCAATCGCTCTCGTTCCTCGGTAAAGAACATAATACTGCCTTTATGAGATCGATAGGTCGCGATAGCTAATATAAACTGTTAATGAAGATAAATTATTTGATTTGATTATGCATTTTGCCAATGAGGAAAGTTACCTGATTCTTTTTCTTCTTACGGAGGGAAGAAAAAGCCCTCATTTAGCTAAATGATGGCGCTAGCTGTTTCAATTTCTGATGACAATTTATAGAGTTCGTGTGGAAATGTGTTATCTGTTTCAATTTCTGATGACAATTTAGCTATATAATAGGGACCTTCTGATTCCCTGTTTGTTAGAAAAAAAATTGAAACCCTTGCAGATGCTTTTCTATTTATATTCCCTGGCTAGTAGATGCGGGGCTACGGTTGAATAGATATGCTTGATACATCTATAACTGCATCATTTCTTCAGCATGTTTTTATTTATGCTTTTCCAATAGCAAAGGGCCTTGCTGTTCAATGTCGACTGGCACTGCAGCGGCTTGGATTTCATCCTTTGATGGACGAAGATCATCTGATAATTCCGGCTTAAGGTATTTGGTACTTTTGGATTTTTCCTTTTTCTAATATTTGTTGATGGAGAATGATTAAAGTTGGATGTCGTTTACAACATTGGATCAGAATGTACTATGGTGCTTTGGTTAGCAATATTTTCTATGAAATTTTAAGATGCTAATCTATTGGAGAGAGTTGCATATTGATATTAATATTTAATGACAAATGAGTGTGTTAAAGATAATGATTCGAACTTAAGAAATTATTCAATGAAGTCATGGGAGAGAGCATGGTGAAAGGCAAAGTTAAAAAAAATGATTCCATTAATTATTGAGAAACAATTTGGTTTATGCCAGGAAGATTTATTGTGGTAGTAACTTTTTTGTAAAGAAAAATGATGAAAACTTTTAAATAATAGGGAAATAATCTCTTTTTTTATTTTTTATTTTTGATCTTAAGAAGACATATAATTGAGTATCATAGAATTGATTTGATGTGTATTGTACATGGCAAATGTATATTGAAGTTATTGACAATATGTAGGATGGAACATTGCTAATATCATAGAGGTTGTAGAGTGACCAAACAATTTTAACTTATAAGATGATTACAATAGTTCTTATCATTAAGTCCATATTAGTTTTTAGTTGGTTATGAAGATTTTTACACTCGATATTGAAAGTAAAGAGTATTGGTGCATTTTTTTTTGGGAAATGATAGTCTAATGGTGCGATTTCTGTTGAAATTAATTAAATGTTCAAATAATTGATAAATTATTAAGAATATAGAGGGCTTATAATTAATAGTTCAAAGATTGAACATATGCTTTGGAATTTTAGCAAATTTTGCAATATGATTATCAACCGATGTTGCTATAAGATAAAGCAATATTAACATGTGATAAGTTTATGCATGTTCAGTCTATTATATAAATCGATAGGGATATTACTTCTCAAGTTTACTAGAGAGGTTATAATTAAAAATGTGTTATGAGCATTATGCGGTAAAACGATATCATAAAGACGTAAAAGGTAAATTTTATAAAAAAATAAAGTTGAATTAGCAATGTTATATGGAGCAAATTGTTGGATTGCAAAACAGTCAATCATAGCTAAGTTCAAAATTGCAAAAACTGAGAGTATTTAGATGGTTGAACAAAAAATATGAAAAAAAGATATTATTTATTATATTAAATGATGATTTGAGTGACGTTCATTAAAGTAAGTGATTAAAAATAAAGTTTTTTAGTTTGATCGTGTACAATAAATGGTTTAAAATGCACGGATAAAATGGTTAGATAGATTGATATCAGAAGACTATGGGGAGAATGGGTAGCATAAGGTAACATGGTGGATACAAGTTGCTCAAAATTGTTTGTGAAAAATATGTTTAACATCTCATTATAGCACTCAATAGGAACAAATGAGTATTCCAGATTCATAAATCCGACCCTAGATAGTTGGGATAAGGCTACTGGCGATCATAATAATATTTGGTTGGATGATACTTCAATATATTTAATGAGATGCTTCTATCAGTAAATTGGTTCTGTTGAGTTTGTATTAATTAAGAAAGTTTCATTTTCAAATTGAAATCTAATAATTGAACCCTAGCTGTATTTAATCTATACTTTTCAAGTTATGCATGGCTATTTACAATATATGTCTTTTGTTTCCATTTTGGTTATTTAATCTTAATCGTATGCATTGTACTTTGACGCTCAATATTACATCAGGTTCAAAGTGTACAGGATTTTGAAAACTTTTGTAATGAAGCCAGTAAGATTTGAAGTGAGAATTGCATGTTACCCAATATTAATTTAACTAAGAAAAAAATCAATTGACATTTTTCACTGCCAAGAGCCTTCTTAGATTGTATTCTAGACAGGTTTTGGACCTTATGTCTTTTTATTAGACTTTATTTGGTTGAATTTTAGATGGATAGATGGATTTGGAAGAAAATTGAGTGGAAGTTATGTAGAAATACTTGTACTTGATAACTTTAAAATTATTCTCGCTTTATTCAACATGAATTGATGGAGAATGAGGATTTATAAAGCTGACTACAAATAGTTGGGATAAGTTCAACAACTACAATGGCAAGTTATCTTAAGAGAATTATTAGAGATTGGGAGATCATTTAGATGACACAAACAGAGCTAAAATTAGTTAGGGACTTACCAGGAGCTCGTGAAGACTGGAGAAGGGTCCAATGTCATTTTCATTAGATTGAAATTACCAAGATTTAACAGTTTAGTTGCCCAAGTTGATGGTGCCAACTGGAAAATAAAACCTTTCATAACTGATTATGATAGAAATAGATGATTCCAACCATGAAATATGTGTTGCAGGTTTAAGACATTTATAGATTTTTGCTCACTCCCTCAAACAAGCTAAACTATGATGCAACTGTGATAACACAAGGAGAAGCGGATAGTTATAGTTTCTGTTATGCTTGTGCACATCAAACACTTCTTTGGTATTTATGGAATGTTTCATATCTCATTTTATTAATATCTCATCCTATCTCTTGTTTGAAATACTATCTCCGCCTTTTCTAGCTTCAGATGCAGGACTCCAACGATTGGTGCTCTTCAATCATTTTGGCATTCTAGTGGGCATTACCTGGTTGCATCCAAGATTCAAGTCGCTGCGGATTACTCAGATTCAGCGGCAGATTTTTCTAAATACGTGGGAAATGAACACTGTCATCCCTTGGAAGAACTAAAATGCTATGGAAAAGGTGACGACGTACTGCTTGCTGATTGTGAAATAGCTAGAACAACTGTTGAGGTAATTTATACTTTCAATTCTTTTTATTACTCTAAAACATAGGAATGAGTTTGTAGGTCCTAAGTCATAATGAACCCAACCAGAATGCATTCTACTAATGATTTTGAACAGCACAAAAAAAAATAACTAAATCAAATAATTATACATTTTGGAAAATTTAAATCCCATATATCTTCCATTTGTTCGGAAATAATTTTCTTGGACTGCATGCTTAGGTTTATTTCTATTCCTATAAAAGAATAGTAAACTAAGATTCAAGATCCTCACAGCTGAAACAATGATTTAAATATGAAATTTTGAAACAAAGAACACTTACCATCTTCAAAGTGCATACTACAATAATCCATGAAACTATCTTAAAACCAACGAAGTAACGAAATAATACGTTGTCTTCTCTTCTGAATGCCACATTGGCAACTAGAAGTACTGCTGGGATTTTGTATTGAAGATAAATTTACTATTCCTCATCTAAAATTTTTCGAAATGATATTCTAGAAGTCAATGATTAGATATATTAGTTTTGCTTTCAAACTAGTTGATCTATCACATACAAACACAAAAAAATTTCTATTTGTGAGCTGTAAGCTACCACAAGGTAACCAAGGAATCTTGTAATAGAACAACTACTCTGAGGATATAGAGGATGGCATGCCAAGAACCAGAAATGCTACTTTGGATGTGAGCATATTCCAAAGTTTCAACTTATTCACAGATTCATACTGAGTGTCATTTTCAATCCTGACATTAAGATTATGTCCTTGATGTGACTCTCATACTGAGTGTTTCCTTCATCTCTCACATTAAGATTCCGTCCTTGATATGGGATGGGTCTAGGATAAAAGATTTATGGTTCACAAACTCTGGAATTTCTATTTGATATGATGAAAAGTTGCTAAGGAAACTAAAGCAGTTATTTTATGATTAAGCAAATGAGAGCAAGAAAACGAAACAGAATTTTTCCGAAGATGCATTGTAGGATGGAATTTTATACTCATTCTCAAGCATTGAGTTACTTTTTATACAATTAGATATAAGTGGTACATTTTTTTGACATAGGAAAGAACAAGTAAATATCTCGACAAAACCCCAAAATGCTTCTAATCGAGCATTCTTAAGAGTTGGCTTAGGGAGTCTATTTTACAGGAGTGTCATTGTTGGGGAATGGCCATATATTATGGCAGAAATACGATTATTTCATTAATTGAAAGAAAATTTTATTGTAGATAGGTACAAGATGGAGAGAGAAATGTTCGATAGGCAGAATATGTTACTTGGCCAAATTTTCAACAGAAAAATATAGGTCTATGGACTCCTCTCCCTGCACCAAAGTTATTGTGGGTTGATGTAAGCATGGATTATGTTGCGGGCCTTCTGCAGACTCAATGGAGTAAGCATTCAATTTTGGTGGTTGTTGATTGTTTTTTCAATATGACACATTTTGTACATTATCATGTGGTTGATGCTTCCCATATTACAAATTTATATTTCAAGGAGATAGTTCATCTTCATGGCGTGCCTCAAATCATCATTTATGTCAGGGATGTGAAATTTATTAGTCATTTTTGGACGACCTTAAAGGATAAGTTGGATACCAAGCTATAGTTCAATTCAACAGTGCACCCTTAAATGGATGAACAAACAAAGTGATAAAATGAAATTTGGAAATCCTTCTTGGGTATTTTATAGGCAAAAGCATTAGGTAATGTGTGGAAAGCCAGAAATGTGGGACGGCCGATCACGTCATAGGTCTTGGAGAATCTGAGTGAAGTCAATTTTGAAAACCTCTTGATTAGTTTTATTCTATTCCAAATTATGTTTCTTTATGTTTATTTCAGAACTATTTCCTTTTCAAATTTAGATTAGCTATACTTGGTAAGTTTGTAAATTAGGAGAGACCGATTTCCCTATATATGTACCTTACATGTGAATAATAAAAAAAATGAATTTTTTCTCCCAAAGCTTGTTTTCAACATGGTATCAGAGCCTTGAAACAATTCCTAGATTCCCTGTCCCCATAACCCCTCCATTCTCCTTTGCCGACTTGCAGGCTTGTCGAAAATCTCCTCTACCCTGCAGCTAGCACTCTTTCTACAGGTTGTAGGCCCTCACTTGCTCTTCCTTGCAACTGATACTGTTCTTGTAGACCCTTCTCTGTTCACCCATGCCGTTAGAATTCTCCCTACTATAGGGCCTCCTCCACTAGATTCTTCCTACATAAACCTTTTATGTTCAACCCTTGCCATCAGATTCTCTCTACAACCTAGAGCATCCTTATTGCAGGCCCTCCTCTAGAAACCTCCTAAGATCCTAGCAATAACAACATCTGTAACAAGAACAACAACAATAACATGACTATATATTGCACGGATACAACATGGGGACAATGACAAGACATGGACACGAGACATGGGACACATTTGCTATTAAAATTTAGGACACAAATACGCGTCAAACACTATTAATAAAAAATATTAAATATAAATAATAAATAAAATATTAAGAATAACATAAAAGAATAAAAATAAATTTAATAGCATTTACATTAAGAGACTGTTTGACATCACTCTTGTTTCTTGCTTTAATTGATATAATTTTTATATTTTATATTTTTAATTTTAAAAATAAATTAAATTGTATATAAAAATAATCAAAATATATAAAGGAAATTTTGAGTGTTTTTAAAACCAACTACCTCAATCAAATATGATTTAATTTAAGTAAAAAAAAAACAAAAATGATCCAAAATTGCCCTTAAGATATTCATAGATAATTGTTTAATTTATAACATATATTACATCAAAATTTATGTCTTTTTAATCAATTATTTGTTAAATAAAATAAAATGATCATTGACTTCTTTGGCACTGAATCTTATTTATTTACATATCTAATACCAAAATTTTAATTTTTGGATTTATTCCACCTAATCTTTCATATCACATCTTATATACCACAATTTTCAATTTTAAAAAGTGAAATGCACCTTTCCGTATATATGTAAGGTGACATATATATTAAATTTTAAATTTAGGCTCTAGATACATAAATACATAAAAATTGAGTGGTATGTATTTAAATTTTACTTAAATTTTGCATAAAAATATACTTCTTTTAATTTGTCTTAAAATAAATTTTGGAAATTTTAATTTATTAAATTAAGACACTTGTCCTACACGTGTATCTTGCACATGTCTGATTTTTTTAAATAATATTTAAATTAGACACTTAATTGCCGTATACAACACATATCGTGTTTGTGTTTGTGTCTGATATATGTTTGATACTGCACTACTTCTTAATTAGAAGTGTTCATGCATCATAGTTTGATGCTTTCATGCGACAACCTGTCCTCTCTTTGTAGTGCAACAACCAAATTTTCCCTGCAACAGTAGCAACTTAAATACGCATAAGGTTTATGACCAAGTACGGGATGAAACATCAAGTTTAATTCCAGAGGTTAATTCTGAATCAGGGACCGAGAAGTCTGTCCAAATGACTTATGAACTCTCTTCCTTTATCACAAATTATAAACTTAATAAACATTATTTTTATAAATAGTCTTAATTCGTGTTTATGTATATTTTTGGAACAAGAAAATTTGAACATGTCAAGGGAGGGCACAATTCCTGAGCTTACTAATCCCTACCACCGCACGTGGAAGATTCAAGGCCATATGATTATGTAATTGCTAGTTAACTCAATAATCATTGGTATAGGAGAAATTTTTAACTCTATAAAATTGTCAGAGAAATTTTAACTCTACAAAATTGTCAAAGAAATTTGATATGTACTGCAATTACATGATCTTCGTCAAAAAGAATTATTTGAGATTAACAATGATGTTTGAGATTAAAACATCATTGTATTTGATATGTGCTAAGTGTCACCAAAGAAATTGCAGTACATATCAAAGAAATTAAAACATCATTGTAATTGCAGTACATATCAAAGAAATTTGATATGTACTGCAATTACATGATCTTCGTCAAAAAGAATTATTTGAGATTAACAATGATATTTGAGATTAGAAATTTGATATGTGCTGCAAGAAAAACATATTCCAACATTGATAATACTGCAGAATTATTTGAGATTAAAACAAACTTCATGATCTTCGTCAAAAAGAGCTAAGTGTCACCAAATACTTTAACACCTTAGCAAAGTATTTGCTACAATTTGATATGTTTGAGAAACGTGTGGAAATGTCCACAGGATGCTATGATGTTTAAGTCCATCATCGAGAAGAAGAGTGTCGGTCAACTTTTTTGATTTGAAAATAATTTTGAGATTTAATTTAATATAATAGGTATATAGTTTGGGTTTCGAAAGTAGTATGTTTGAACTTTAAAAAAAAAAGACTAAATGGATCTCATTAGTTTAGATAGTTTGGGTTTCGAAAGTAGTATGTTTTAATTTTCAAAAAAAGAGACTAAATGGATCTCATTAGTTTAAAATACTACACATTCCCGAAAGATAGGTGTATACTTCAGCGATGGACCCAATCATGCAGATTATGAGATTTGTGACATTCGTTTGACCTGCGAGCTTTTTTTTGTGTGACCGACAAGTACCTTTATCTAATATAAAAAGTAAATAGAGTTTATTTTACTTGGGTTCCAAGTTCCTTATAGAGGCAAACCCCTATAGTTAATTACATCCAAAATTAATGACGGGGGTTACTTGAGAAAACTCTCGATAATGATCAGAGGTACTAGTTTTTAAGAATTCAAGATTTAGGTTTTAACGGTAGGATGTGAAAAGGCAAGTGAGAGTGGCTCAAATAGGAGTAATTATTTTCAAAAGTCCAAAGGAAGGAGAAGGTAGGGGACATCACGGATCCTGAGGAGAATCCTCAGTGATTTCCCAAACTATCATACTGTGTCGCCGTGTTTTGAAGATGATGTTATTCGAGTGTTCAATCATGTCAATTTTATTGTTTAGGGCTTACATTTGTATAATATACGATTATGCAGATAATTCGCAGAGATATGAGGGTTGTC